TTGTTTCAAGGCAGGGAGACAGCGAGATTTCGGATGGGTTTCCGTTTCTATATGAAAAGAGCAGTAGCGAATTTTTAAAAAAGAAAATAGAGAAAACAGTAAAAAAAAAAAAAAACACCATATGAAAATGATATCAAGAATATAGAAAGGGAAAAAGAAAAGTGGGTGTGAAAAGAAAAGAAAAGAAAACCTGATGAAAATTGGTTGTTTGGGAAATATCATCAAAGAATCTTTTACAAGTGGGTGCCAAGAACTATTGGAGAGGGAGACAGACTGGGGAAGAAGACCCAGATGCACCCCCTCCCTCTCCCAGGTAGATTTAATGGCAAATTCTATCATCAAATTTTGGGGAAAAAAAAAAATCATGAAGGTTAAGGAAAATTTTTGAACCAATCAAAAACAGCCCCACTTGGAATCTGCATGAACCCTAAAAGAGACAAATGTGAAATCCATTTTTAAAGATAACAAAGGTGAGGTAGAAATTCATGTCAAGGCTCCTACCACAGGAGAACCCAAAAAAAAAATAATAATAACATACCCATTTAAGAGAAACAAAAATAATTTCACCAAATATTATAAAATAACAAAAAAAAAAGAACTAGATAATGGTCTCACTCACTCTCTACCCTCAAGAAAAATTATTAGGTGCACTGAAAGTATAAATAAGTTGAAATACTTTATAAATGTGACTGATTTTTCAGAATCTTATACGAAGAAGTGTTCATAAAATTTAAGCACCAAATAAACCTTGGCTTTTTCCACATTGTTGGTCAAGTTCTTTCATGATGCAACACAATGAAATGCTTTAAAGTTACAAACATATTGTAGTGAAAGAGTAGAAAGAAAATTATACATACCTCTCTAGGCATGAGTGTCTTGGGAATCACTCTACAGACAATAACATGACAAAAATCAGTTCAGTATGATAACCAAGCCAAATATTAAACTCATTTTTCTTATTTTCAATTGATTTAATTTCCCATTTTCTTTCTTCTTAACCGAAAAAAGAAAAGAAGAGAATGATGATAAGCATACTAACCCAATGACATGACGGCCACCATTATAAACAGCCTGAGAGACCAGACCCATCAAGCCAATACTTCCTCCACCATAAACAAGATCAATATTTCTTGATACCTTCCAAAAAATAATAATAAAAAAACAGAAAATGGGGAAAGAGATAATGTTAGCTCAAGAAAGACAAATTGACTTTAGTGGATAAAGTTATGTAAGAATGAAACTCCAAATTTCTCCTTTTACAAAACTATTAGCTTTTACTTTTAACATATAATTTGGGTTTAACCGCAATTAATTAGACAAATAAGTAAAGAAAATCTAGTCCATTATGTTCTTATCAAAGTACATTACTCAAATGATACTAGGATAAAATTTGATCAAGATAGAGTAACCCAATAGTTCTATGAGATGATTACAGTTCATAACAAGAAATCATTAATGTCATTTCTGAAAATGTCCTAAAAGACAAATAGCACCAAAGGGTTTCAGGTCTATACTGTAATTAAGTTTGATCTTCGAAATTTTTTTGAAAAAATCGAGATAGAAAAGACTTACGTATCTCAAACTGAAATCAAATGAAAACAAAAAGAGAAGTAAATACAAAAGATTGTGAACAATAAACAGCTCAGAAAATTCAAAACAGAGCAAGCCCATCTTCAAACCGAAACAGAGCAAATAAAGAGATTGAAGAGACACCCAAGTGTTTTCCAAGAACACCCAAAAAAAATCAGAAGAAACCCATTCGAAAATAAGACCTAAAATCCGAGAAAGAAGAAGAGAAACGAAGAAGAAAAATGAAAAAAAAAAAAAGAGAACAAAACAAAACAGAGGGGAAGAATAGAAAGAGAGAGAGAGAGAGAGAGAGAGAGAGAGATGCATTTACCAATTCTCTACCAAGTTCAATAGCAGCATCTTTATAACTACTCTTCTTTCCTGGACTACTCCCACAAAACACACAAATCCTCTTGAACTTCGATTGTTTTATTTCCTTCTCTCTCTCCATATCTCTCTCTCTGTATCTCTCTCTCTCTCTGAGGAAAGCGAAGAAGGAGAAGAATAAGAAGAAGAAGAAGGTTGAATGGACACTGCAAAAAGCTTCTCCTGCGGTCTTCTTCAATATTACCTTAGCAGAGTTTTGACAGAACAAAAATGGCGGAATTGGTTTTATGTTGCTGTTAGAAGTGTGCGTGCGTGCGTGCTTGCATATATAACGGTAGCACTGAGCCGTACACTGGCACGCGTAGAACGTCCTCAAATGGCTTACATTGGTTTACGGACGCCAGATAATATAATAACGTCACCTGCGGGTGTTTCAAGGTACGCCACCAACCAATCAAATGTTTTCTTCACAATTTAAATTTATTTTAATTTATTTAAATAATAATAAAAAAAAATTTCTAAAATCACTCTTGATTTATTTGTCACGTGTTTGATAAATATGTTTCTATTATTTTCTTTTTGGAGGTATTGAGACTTTAAAAATTATATAATATATATATATATATACATGCAATATCGTATTATTTTGTAATCTGCAAATTTTTATGGTACCATAAATTTTAAATTTCAATATTTCATTTTTTAAATTTTTTTGGATGAATTTTTACTTAAATTAAGTTTATGTTTGCTAATAAATTTTCTAAATTTATTATACATACAATTTTAATTTAATTATGAACATAAAAATTGTAGTAATAAATTACTAAAATTTAATATGATATAAAAACAAATTTTAATTAAACCTTAAAAAATCATTATGTATTTATTTAAATCCCAAATTCAAACATATTTTATAACATATTAATGAGAATTATCAAAATTTTAATTCTTTTTTTTCTCATAGTTTTGAAAGGCCAAATTTTAGGGTATATCCATATTCATTATTTCAAAAAATTATATTAAAATTTTGATGATTGCATAGTAAGCCAATGAGATTTTTTTTTTTAATTTGTAATATTATTTATAGTTTGAATATGAACCCTTTCATATACATATATGTATACATGTACCATACATGAATGAGTTGAATTTTTGTATGAACAAATATAATTTTTTAGTTTGGAGCATGGGTGAGAGATTCACATTCACTTTTGTATGTGAACCACATGGTATGCCAAAAATTCTTACAAGAAGAATATGCTTTTATATTCCTATGATGATGTTTTTTTTTATATCATAACCTTTTTTAAAAAATATATATAATTATTTAAGTACGTACTGAAACGACGCATGATGATGTAATAGTTAAGATATTTATATTTTTTTAAAAAAATTAGGAATTTAAACATCACTGAAAATATATAATTCGCTATTTTATATAAACATATTAAAATATAAAAATATTTAATTCAATTTGATCGCTGTAATTTTATAAACATATTAATAAATTTTAAAAAATAATACTCTTCCTATATATATATATATATAAACATTCCTCTCTTGATGAATTTGACAAAACCAAACCATAGCTTTTCTAAATATGCTTACCAAAATGGGTAAATTTTTTAAGGCTAACCAATATCTTTCTTTCTAGTGCATTGATCAAATTTTTTTTTTAGATTAAGAAAATGGAACTTGATCATGATTATGGCATAACTCAATTCATAGTGGAGACTATATTTGCAACAAATAAATTTATTTTTATAGAATTTATTAAAAATATATAGTTAATTTAATTAATACATAATAGATAAATTTATCAAGGAATGTAAGAAAATGATATAATCTTGATGAAGTTTATAATATATTATTTCAGTTATATCTGAAATTACTTTAGATTGAGTTTGAATTAAATTTTAATTTTATAAAATTAGAATATGAATATAAAATATATAAAAATAATATTCAACTTCTAAACTAATTTCATCTACATTTCGAATTAGATGTTATGATGGTTTATTCATTAAAAAATATAAACATAAATTCATCTTATGTAGCTAAAGATACAAGTATAGGTGTAAAGGTCCGGAACCTTAGGTAAAATAAAGTCATAAATTAACTGTATAAGTAAAATAAAAAAGTTAGAATTTACATTCCTTACAAAATACTTTAGGATACTCAATAGAGATACGAAAATATTTTTTTCTAAAAGAACAAATGAAAATCAAAGAAATAAATAAAAGACAAATAACTTAACAATCCTAAAACGACTTTCACTACCTTTTGAAAGGAGTCCGGGTGGTAAATTATTCACAACTCGCTTGTTGATCGGGATATGGATCTTGATCCTCTTGATCTTAAATAATTAATGAAGTGGTGAGCTACACTAGTAAAGTGAGAAAATCACACTAATCACATATACGGAAAATTGAAGATTGGTAAAAATAAAAAAAATAACCAATTGAGCCTTCAATTTAATATAAATTCATTTACTATAAAAAAAAGTTATTTATTCTATATTTGTGTAACAAGTCTTTCCCAATAATAACTTATGAAAACTCATATTCATGTACTATTATTTATCATATCGAATATAACAAGAAACGATCATTTTATATTTTTATCCACTTACCGGCACCCCTAGGAATCCATATGGATGTCCTCTTACTCATAAACTCAATATCTAATTAAATAATTATCCGGCCATCCCCATACACCATTTGTGATGGGAGCCAAATATTCTACCACCTCGATACCCCATCCAGTATGAAAGTGAATCATGTCTCTCAAACCTTACTAGTAAGTCTGGTAAGGAACTTTTTAGCCCCGTCCGACTGAAGTAACGTTCACGGTAGGGTTCCATATCTCATTTTATAATCACCATTCACTTAAACAATAGTATAGTTTAACACAGCCAATTAACTAATAACCGAAATATCGGTACACAATGCAGGAAAAACAAATAACCAAATAACCAAAAAGATCATAAAATTTATCAATTGAGTTACGAATAGTATAATAGTACCTAAATATAGGCAATACAAGAAAATAAATAGAAAATAAAAACGATTATGAACTAACCGATTCTAACTCCACTAGTGACCTGTAATTATTTTTAAAATTCTCTAACTTTTCATAAAAACACACAATTATTAATTATTAAGCCTCAATTGCCGTAATGGAGAAACTGGTGAGAGATCTTTACACGTATCGGTATTTCGGAACACCGATCTGTCTACTACGCTTTTTAATAGGAACTGGATTTCCTGAATTATCCTTACAGAATCCAAAATACTAGTCACATATTTTTTAGTCAACTGAGACCCCTAATATGTTTTTGGTCGTATCCCTGCAAAAAAAAATATATTAGGGGTCTCGATTGACTGAAAAATCGTAAAAAATCGAACTCACCAGTGGAGGGGACCTCTGGGTGCGGCGACTCCACCGATTCTCCTTCGTAACTGAGATTCTTTCTTCAGTCAACATGCACAGAAAAGACGGTGGAAAAATTGCACAAAACAAAAAATAAGAAGGAGCTCACCAGAGGAGGTTACAAGTTTTGCCCGCAGTTTCTGGCTCACTTGCCATTCGTTTTGCTCCGATATGGCCATAGGAGTGCTCGGAATTGAATTTCGAGCAGGTAGGAGAATTTTTACCTTTTCTGGCAGTCAGAGGTGGCTCTGGTGCGGCGGCGGTCGGTGGTCGACTCCCTTCTCCGGCGATTAGTTCTTCTTCTTCGGCAAGAGGCTTGCGATTAGGGCTCAAGTTCAGTGTGATATAAAATATTTATAACCATCTCGTGTTAATCTGGACCATTTATTGCATTTGATCTCGACCGTTCGATCGTGCCTAAGGAGGAAACAAATCTAAACCATTCATAACGTTTGATCTCGACCATCTGATGGCATTTAAGAAGGAAATGAATCTAGATTGTTCATTACGATTTGATCTCGACCATCCGATCATATTTAAATGGAGAACAAATTCAAGCCGTTTATGCGCGCGGGATCGATTCTAGGCCGTTCGATTGCTAGACACACGAATAGCCTACATGGCACTGATGTCAGCGTGCCTTGCCACGCGGTGTGCTCTGGTTTGTCGGGGTTGCTGACTGGGCAATCATACGTGGTAAATTTTTTTTTATTTGCACTCTGATTCTTAATTTCTGATTTTTCTTTTAAAAATACTCTCAAAAATCAAATTTTTACAATTTTTCTCAAAATTATTTTTAATTTCATCCATAACTTATTTTTTTCATAAATTTAACAAAAATTAAAATGAATTAATTTAAAAATAAATTTTTTGTATATTTAAAATGTTAAAATTAATCCCGTGCCAAATTATGGGTCCAGGTAATTCAACTCTCCCCTCCCCCCTAAGAGAAATTTGGTCCCTAAAACTTGTCTCCCTCTCATTTAATCAAACAGTTGGGGATACTAGGTTTTGAAGTCTGATTCTACCTCATATGTGGTCTCTGTGTGTGATTCTGCCATAGTACCTTAACGAATGGAATTTTTCTGTTGCGAGGTACTCTGTTCTTTCAGTCTACAATGTCCGCTGGTATCTCTTTATAGAATAGATCCTCTTTTAGTGAAAGGGGCTCGTGGGCCAAGATGTGAGAGGGGTATGAATTATACTTACGTAGCATGGACACATAAAACACATTATGGACCCTGGATAACTTTAGAAGTAGTGTGAATTTGTAGGTGGCGGTAACAATTTTGTCTAAGATCTCAAATAGCTCAATAAACTAAGGATTTAGTTTTCCTCTCTTGTCAAACCTATTGATTCCCGTAAAAAGGGTGACCTTGAGGTACACTCGATTACCTTTCTCAAATTTCAAATCCCTTCCTTAGGTGTCCACATAACTTTTCTATTTGCTATGAGCCATCTGGATGTTCTTCCTAATCTTAACTATTTTAGTTGTAGTCTCCTCCACAAGATCTAAACCGAACAATTTCTTATCACCCACCTCTTCCCAACAGAACGATGATTTGCAAGGGCGGTCATACAACACCTTGTACGGAGCCATGTTGATACTTACTCAGTAGCTGTTATTATAGGCAAATTCTACTAAAGATAAATGATAATCCCAATGGCCCCCAAAGTCAAGAACACAAGCTTGGAGCATATCCTCCAATGTACAGATCATCCTTTCTGATTGTCAATCGGTCTGAGGGTAGAATGCGGTACTAAGAGACAATTTAGTTCCCATGACTTGCTGAAAACTAGACCAAAACTGAGAAGTGAACTTGGGGTCCCTATCGGATATTACTGTCACTTGCACTCCAAGTAACCCGACTATCTCCCCGATATACATTCTTACTAACTTGTCCAATGGG